TATAGGTAGAAAGCACATGCAGGTAGTCAGTCCTCTTTTTACATGATTCTTGGGAGGATCATACAAGGACTTGCAGTTATACTTGTGTGCATATGTTATTGGTTTAAATATCATCCCAGGGCCAATGCTAGTTGTAAAGCAAGCTGGGAAACACTGATAATTTTTGTTGGGTCCATTGTTATCCTGAGCAGAATTGGGGTCCTGATAGTAAGAGAAGAAAGGGATAATAAATATGGGGTAGACAATAAGCAATGAATGTTTGCTTCAGAAAAGTCAAGTACTTTGCCCAAGGTCATAGAGGTAGCGAAGATAAGCAGTTGTTTGAACCTCTTCCATTGAAAAAGGATGCCTAGTTGTCAAGTGCAACTCCTCTTCAGATATGTGTATAGATAAGAGATGGAAATGCATGTACTAGTTATGGAAAGCTCTGGAGGTTTTGGTCAGCCATGAACCTCTTAGGAAATATTTTTTTGCAGGATATAATATACCATGTATTAAATATTCATATCACTGTTCTCTCCGCATTTGCAGTGAAACTTTTCTTTCCTCCTTGTCTACACAACCAATGGGGTAATCAATTTTAGACCTGCCTTGCTAATACTTTGTTCTTCAAACCATCAAACTACTGGCACTTCATGTCCCCATTCTGAGAAAGTTAAAAAGTGATGTGAACACTATTTGCATTAGGGTTCATTCAGGAAAACAGATGCTCTTCTAAGTATATCAAGCAGGAAGACATTTAATAGAGGGAACTGGAAGCTAATGCAACCATTCAAAGGGCTGGGGTGTGAATGGAAGAGCTAGCCAATGATCTCTGCTACTTTCCCTCCAATGGGGTCTTTTCAGGAGAATGCCTGGAATATGCTGGCAAAGGGCTGTATTAATTGCCTGCAGATGCCCGTGTGCCTGGCTATGGCTACCAACAACAAATACATGGTATCTCCTTTTATACCTCTGGAATTGCCTATGAGTAGTTCTCAGTGGTGGTCTAACCTGGATCCATGCCCCATGGGATATTGTGAGATGTAGTTCTGAAGCTTCTCAGGGAGGAATATAGAATAAGGTAGGGTTGAGATAATGTGGAATTGACAACAGACTCTCTGGCTGAAGAAGCATTTGAGTTTGAATAGAAGGATACATAACACAGAAATTTGGGGGAAGAAGAGCATTCTATTCATATGTTGGCAATGTTGCTACTAGTATTATTTATTCTGAGCTATGTATCCTTGGGAGATAAATAAGAATTCTTTGGATCTCTGTACAAATTCTCTTCATGTCATAGTGCTGCTAAATAAATAATAATAAAAGGATTCAATGACCTGCATATATGGTACAGAAGGTAATGTATTCTGTGAGGCTCCATAGTGCGATGGGGGGTCCCAGAGGGTGAGGGTTGAAAAACAATGCATAATTCATCAGCATGTCTTCAGAAAACAATTGTGGATGACTCAGCTTGTATATTTCTTTCTTTTCTTTCCATTTTTTTTTTTTTTGGTTTTGTTTTTGGGAAACTATCCAGAGCTCTATTTGATATAGCTATACATATGACTGACTTACGGTGACCTGATAAAATACAGTGAGGAATTAAATACAGTGAAAGAAATAATAGAATAGTTTCAGAACAATGCCTATAGACATATGCCTATAGACATATGACATATTGTTTGGTGTTGGGTAGAGAGTTGTAACCTCTAGTTATCTGCTATCTGGGTCACATCAGACTTTTAGTAAGTATAACTCACAGGCTTTTGAAGGAATAATTTGATCTGTGCTATATTTGAGCCTGTGGAACAGCAAAATCCATTATGATTATATCCTATGACACTCCTAAAATACTCTGAGTCTTGAGTTTCAGGTTTCTGCTGATATTTAATATTTGAGTTATCTCAAGGAAGATAAGGGAAATGTACTATCTTACTCTATTTATTTCTTGAGTAAAATTGAAAGGGACTAATGGAAAAAACTCGTTACCAAGAGTAGTGTGCAGAGTTCACTGGTTTTGCTTTGCTGGAATAAAACTAATGTGTTTGGGATCTTATGTTAGGTCATATGGAGGTGGATCTGGAGATGAGGATTCCTGTGCAAGTGATTAATTAAGCAAATACTCCCAAGAGGAACCAGCATAGAAATGGGAGAAGCAAGACAGGGAGGGGCAAGACGCAGGCGAAGTTGTGATTTCAGGGGACATCTTAGCACTAGTTTCATCCATCAGGGAACTCTGGAAGTGCAAATTATATCTCAGAGTTTGTCCTGAATTGAGGCCAAGGCTTTCATACTCTTCCTCTAGTTATTGGCTAAGGGTTGCTTGGGTGGAGGTGGAGGTAGAGTGGGCAGAAGGCAAATAAAGTCCCAGAAGCTAGCTGTTTTTGAGCACAGGCAAGGAGCTTTAGTTACCCCAGGGCAGGCCTTCAAAGAGTCTCAGGTTCTTGCCACTGGAAAAGAAAAGAACATATATTCTGGGGAGAGATATACAAAAATGATAAAGAGAATCCCAGGGGATGCAGCCAGAGCCCTGACAATGTACTTACAATGTACTTGTAAGCATCTCCTTTGCTTTTGTGAAACCCAGAATCTGGGGAGAGGAGAGAGAAATTTTCACACGAAACTATAAAGTTTCTCTCAAGTAAGGGCTGACAAACTTTTTCTAGAATGGTCCAGACAAAATATTTGAAGCTTTGTGGGTCACAGGGTTTTGGACTTAACTATTCAACTGTACAGTTGTAGACAAAAGTAGCCATAAATCATAGGTAAATTAAATGGGATAGCTGTGAATGGGGTAGCTATAAATGAATGGGGTAGGTATGTTCCAATAAAACTTTATTTATATAACAGGTGGGGGAGGGAGACTGGATTTGGCCCAAAGTTTGCCAATCTTTGCTCTAGAGGCTCTTTATATGTGCCTAAGGTGATTTGCCTTTATTCATTCTCTATGTGCTATAAAACACAGCATAATTAGTACCTTTGTCTATCAAAAGGATGGTTATGATATTATGACTTATCTTAAATTATTCTAGACCCTAACCTCCGATTTTTCTGGCATACTGGCTATCATTCACAACGTTGAAAGGATGATTTTCCTGAAGAATGACTCATCTCCTTTGACTTCTCTGCTAAACATATTTAGCTCTCTCTTAGCTATAAAATAAAATATAGACTCGTTAGCACGGTGCGTTCAGGAATCTCTGTGATCTGACTCCAAGCCAATTTTCCTGCATTATCTTCTGCTCTCCACTCTCATGTATTTATGGTCCAGCTTCATCAAATTACTTGCCATCTCTTCAATATGCCGTGTGCTTCCTGTCTCCCTGTATTTTTTTTCATTTTTATTTAAACTGACAAAATTATATATATATTTATGGTGTACAACATGATGTTTTGTTATATGCATACATTATAGAATGAATAAATAAAGCTAATTAACATATCCATTACCTCACATATTTATAATTTTTTAATAGTTAGAACATTTAAAATTTGCTCTTTTAGCAATTTTTTTTTTGAGACAGAATCTGATTCTGTTCCCTTCAGTAGAGTGCTATGGCATCAAAGCTCACAGCAACCTCAAACTCTTGGGCTCAAGCGATTCTCTTGCCTCAGTATCCCAAGTAGCTGGGACTATAGGTGTCCACCACAATGCCCAGCTATTTTTAGAGATGGGGTCTTTTTTTTTTGAGGTAGAGTCTTACTATATTGCCCTTGGTAGAGTGCCCTGGTGTCACAGCTCACAGCAACCTTGAACTCTCTGGCTCAAGTGATTCTCTTGCCTCAGCCTCCCAAGTAGCTGGGACAATAGGCGCCCACCACAATGCCCAGCTATTTTTTTTTTTTTTTTGCAGTTGTTTAGCTGGCCTGAGCTGGGTTTGAACCTGCCACCCTCAGTGTACATGGCTGGCACTGTAACCACTGTGCTATGGGTGCTGAGCTGAATTTGACTTTTTTAGATTCCACATTTGAGTGAGATCATGTGGTATTTGTCTTTTTGTGCCTGGATAGCTTATTTTGGTTAGTGTAATGCCTTCAGGTTCATCCATGTTGTCACAAATGACAGGATTTCCTTCATTTATAAAGCTGAATATTATTCCATTTATCCATTTACATACACTTCGGTTGACCGCATACCTTGGGTATTTTGAATAGTATTCCAATGAACATTGAAGTGCTGATATCTCTTTGACATATTGATTTCATTTCCTTTATTCCCAGAAGTGAGATTACTGGATCATAAGGTAGTTCCTCTTTTAATTTTTAAGGAACCACCATAGTGTTTTCCATAGTGGTTGTACCAATTTACATTGCCACCCAAATTTTCCTTTATTCTCCACACCTTCCCCAACATTTACCTCTTGTCTTGTTGATAACAGTCATCCCAGCAGATGTGAAGTGATATCGCAAAGTGGCTTTAATTTTCATTTCCCTTATGGTCAGTGATGCTGAGTATTTTTTTATATACCTGTTGGCCATTTGTATGTCTTCTTTTGAGAAATATCTTTTTACCTCCTCTTCTCATTTTTTATTTGAGTTATTTGTTTTCTTCCTATGAGTTGAGTTTTTAAAATATATTTTGGATATTAACCCTTATCAAATGTATGGTTCATAAATATTTTTTTTCTTCTCTGTCTTTGCCCCTGTATCCTCTCCTGAAATGTTCTTCCTCTTAGCTCTGCATTTGGAAATCATTCTCTAAGATTTGATTTGGTCACCTTCTCCATTAAACATCTTCCCCATGAAGAATGTTTTTGCCCAGGACCTTGAAAACAATGTTGTCTATTTCTATTAATTTTCTTGTTTACTTTGTACCAGGTAATTATTTGCGTTTTGTATAATTTTTGTATATTTAGGACGGGGACTCACTTTTATTTTTTTTCCCTTCACAGTGGATGGCATATAGTAGTTATTCAGTAAATGGAATTTTCAGATGAAGATGGCATTCCTCCATCCTGTGATTATTAATTATTTAAGTGGTGAAACTCTGACATCATTTTTCTCTTTCCTTTTTATAGGCAAGAGCTGTTTTGGCAAAAGTTGGCTATCCTGAGTTTATAATGAATGATACTCATGTTAATGAAGACCTCAAGGCAGTAAGTGCTAAATTTACTGTATTTTTTTTTTTCTGGCAAGTTTTCTTGGCCTTGTGCCTTTCAACTAACCCAAGTTTAAGCAATTAAGCCTGGTGGTGCCAGAAAGCACCAACTTTTGATAAATTCCTTGGCTAGATACGAGCATGAACATGCCAGGCATATCATAAGATTTAGAGCAGATTCAAACTGAAGGAAGTGTCAGAAAGAATGCATAGCTCAGTGGGTACCATAAAGTAAATGGACTTGGATTTGGCCTAATTTGATCATAAAAGAAAGAATTAAGCAAATTGAGTATTTTACAATTAGCAGGCATGTTGTAATGGTGAGTGCATCATGTTTGTTGTTAAATACTTTTTACTTGCTTCATATTAAATGAATGGTAATAAATCTGCCTGCTGGGAGTTAACATCATTAAACTTTATGAGTGTTTTGGCAAATTAAGTGCATATACATATGCCTCTATAATTTATTGTGAGTTTGACTATATATTTGCAGTAAGTTACTGGTGAGAAGTAGAAATAATTCTTTTTTATTACAGTATTTTGGGACAAGTATTTTCTAGTAGATCTATTCATTACAAACTTTTCTAAATGCAACCACTGTTCATTCCTCTCCTACAAATGGTTCTGATGAAGAATTTTTGGCCTCATGTAAGAAAAAAATGTTATTACCATTCGCTTGATTTTCTAAAAAAAAAAACAAAAACCTCTTTTGAAGTTCTTTCAATGACTATGGTTTTGAGGTATACCTGTTTCCTGAAATTGTGTTTCAAGAAGAAAGCAATCCTACCTTTGTCAATGAGCATCAGAATTTCATAAGACCATTAGAAAGTGAGAGAAAGCTTTAATTAGAAACTTCCTCCATTGCATGTCCAGATACAGCCTCCCAAACTATTGACCCAGTTGCTCTGGAAGAAAATAATCATGCCTCACATCTTTATTCCTAAAATTCAGGCAGCCTATTTTTATCATACACCTGTTTTGATGATGCTGAAAAATCCCATTGTTATTAAGGTAATTAAACATAGCAAAGTGCTTGACACATACCTCTCCATTCACACAGTGATCTTGTGAAGTAGATGTGCTTATCCCCATTTTGCAGAAAAGGAAATAGAGCCTCAAAGAAGATAAGTGATCTCCTCAGTGCACACAGAGTGTCAGAGCCAGGACTGAAATTTTGGCTCAGGAAACTCTGCCTGGAATCATGAGGGGTTCTGGAGGGTCCTTGTCAGGAGCTGTGCTGGAGGAACCGAGGCGTCAGGGTGGAGACTTGGTGGTGGCTGCCTTCCCAGAGCTGTTGGAAAGGTGGAGCAGAGGGGCGGCCATGTTGTCAAGGGCTTAAGAGCATAGTTCTGGAGTCACAGGCCTGGGTTTGAATTCTGCCTCTTCTACTTACTAGTTGTTTGATTTAGTGCAGGTCAGTTAACTTTGGCTAGCTTGTCTTTGGTCTGGATACCAGAAATAACAACCAAGCTTTGGTATTGTTGGGAAGATTAGATAAGATTATACAAATGTAAAAGCATCTAGCATAATATTTGGCACATAGTAGGCTCCCTATAAATGTTAGCTTTATGGACTGGTATGATGACTATTGCTATTAAGAAATGTGATCACCAGAGCACAAAATACCTTGGCAGGATAACCTGGGTAATTTTGTGTGATTGCTAAATATTCCAAGTTAGGGTGTGAAAGAGAAGGTTTGAGAGGCAGTTTGATGGAGTGCTTATGAACACAAATCATGGCGTCAAAGTGTCTGCAGTGAGATCCAGTCTGCCACTCACTACCTGTGTGACCTAGGATAGGTTATGAGGCCTCCTTGCTCCTCGGTTTCTTTGTCTACAGCCTGGAGTTGATGACAGTCCCTCCCGTATATGATTGCTGGGAGGATCAAATGAGTTAACATATTTAAAATATTTAGGATCAATTCTGGCACACAATCAACACAGTATAAAGGTTAGCCATGACATCCTCAGTTTGCACTTATGATAGATTATTTTGGTTTGGAAAAGTCATCATGAATTAACTCAGGAAGTATCCAGGTCCCTCAAATTGATTTAAGATGGAGAAGTACCAAATTTTAATCAAATAAGGTAGCATTCAGGGCTCACTCACAATGTTTAATTGATCAAGTTTTGTTGGCAGTCTGTTGCTGATTAAGTTGTGAGCCCCAAGTTTAAGGACTCATTGAATGCAGAATCTTTTGCGAAAAGAAAGCAGATGCCAAACAGGGTGTCTTGTTGGGTCTGCTTTTTCATTTTTTCCAAGGCCTGAACTAAAGCTATTAGACGCTAAGATTTTTAATCACTTCTGTGAAGAAATGGCTTTTACTGGACTCATTGCCAAGGCAGACACAATCACGCCCAAGAGTTTTAGCAGTTTAAAAAACTGATGGTGAAAAATGTTCCAAACACATGAAGTAAAAGTTATATATGTTGAGAAACTGATAGAGAAAATGAATAAAATCGAGCCTGAAAATAGGTACAGAATGATGTATAGATTATAATAATGTCACTGAGGTTAATAGCAAAAGGACTAAAGTATGGCTGGTACACAATGGGCCTGTGTTTTCCATTTTAAGAAACATGTAGATAAGGACTACCATAAGGCCTGTGAGAAATTTCTGGTAATACAAGCTCTGAGCATTAGAGGCTGCTACAAATGAAAAACAGCTTGCTACATTTGACACAAGTGAAGATACGATTCATCAGGCACCAATGCAAAAGGAAAGAGGAGAGAGATTAGGTGATGAATCTGATGGAGGTCAAGGGGAAAAGCTGAAAACTGAAGTCGGGCTCTTGTGGAGATAAGCACAGATGAAAAAATTGAGAGGGGAATGTGAAAAAGAATCAGAGAAAAAAAATTTTTTTTTCCTTTGAGGTTTATAAGGTAAAACCGAGATACCCAGCAAAGTGTTTCTGAACAACAATCCTGTAGGTTTTGAAAAAACAAGAAGACAGAAAATACCCTTTATTGGAATCCAGATCAACATGCAGGAAAGCCTATTAGTTAGCCTGAAAGGGTAGGCATTAGACCATTTTCAAACTTGCCTTGTAAAGTACTCTATTTCATTGGTCCTTTATACAAGTAGAATCAAGAGTAACTTTGTATCAGTTTTGGAAAGCTGGCTGTGTCAGCACACGACGTATTTCAAACAGAGGATTTAATACAAGAAATAGGTTGGAAAACAAAAAAATGGGAAGGTGGGATAGACTACAGATCAACGAGTTTAGGAAGCAGCTGCCATCTCTGTGCCTAAGGGGATGGAAGGGAGGAGGTGCTATCACTTCCCAGAGCAGAGGAAGAACAGCCACTCCAGAGCCAAGCTGTGGAGGAGGGACTTGAAGATGCTTTTGGAGTCATTGTCAGAAGAAGAAGGGAGGAGAGGGGAGAGTGTGGGGGCAGGAGAGAGAGAGAACAGGAACTCAGCATCTTTTCTTCTTTTGCCATCCGCTGATTCCCCCCAGTGCCTCTTATTGGCAGAGAACCGATTGGTAAAGGAGCCTGGGAAAGAGAGTTTTCAGGGTCCCAGTCCCAGCATTATAGAACAGGTTGAGAGGGGGCTGGGTAACTGGGCACGTAGCTGAGAGACTACAGGTAAATAATCAGCACAGCTAAGCGCTGCAGTCATTCTTGTGAAAGCCAATGGAGAATTGCAGTAGGGACTAGAGTCAGGATCGTGGCCGACCTCCATTTACTTAGGAGAATTGGAAATGAGTAATTTTTCAGAGGTCAATGTTTCTGGTGAGTGACACATATACATATAAATATGCACGCAGGAATATATAGATATCATGTGACCCACAAAATATTCTCGGGGTAACCCACATGATACATGTGTATGTATGTTTTTGTGTGTTTATATATGACGAAATACAAGTGTGAGGTGGAATGTATTGGCAAAAGAGATTGCTACAATATTTAAATCATTTTGTACTGTTTGGAGTTTTGGCCGGGGCTGAGTTTGAACCGGCCGGCGCCCCTACTCCTTGAACATTCTGTACTCTTTGGTACAAAATAATAAGACCTTACTCTCAGTGCTCCCAAGTGAACTTGAGTCACCATGGCACTGAAGAGCTAAGAGTGGGCACTAGAGGGGGCCCCCTGGTGCCTCCCAAACCCTGTAGCCAGGCCTTTGTAACTCTCTCCCACTGGCCTCCATCTAGAGTGTTCCACAGGCCGGAGGAGACCAAGACCAGCCCTAGCCTCAGCATGGAGGGGGACAACTGGTTCCAGTACCAGTCAGCTGATTGGTGCTCCCTCCGACTCACCCTTACATCGATTCTCTGGGAACTACATCTTCCACAGTCTATTGAAACTTCTACAGTCTCTTAAATAGTTGACTATTTTAAATTGTATATGAACTTCATGGCCACCCTGTATATGTGGATTATTAAGCGTTCTGAACATCAGGCCTATATATAGGTATGTATATCTGTATACATACATGTTACTTATGACCAAAGCCATCTAAACATACCAGTCTTACATATTGCTTCATTGTTTCAATAAAAGAAAATCTGGATTCTATTAGGTATTCAGAAAATTCTTTGGGTGCCTAACATAAAATTGTTCTTATAGATATTTGGGTATATATCTAAGCATCTTTAAATGGATTCATGGTGGATGAAAGGCATCCTAGAATTTGTACTTCCTATGGACACATACCGTGTCTTATAAATGTGTACTTACTCATTCTACAGAGAAGCTGAACACATTTCCTTGTTCCGCCCTTATGGCATGTTCCCCATGTTTATGTGTGTGAGTGGTAATAACTTTATTTCATTTAATCTGTGGCATTTGGTATTTGGCGTCTGGGATAGGATTTCTAAGAAGAGAAATGTAGGTTCTCCTGAATTTTGTGATCTGGACATCTGTTCTTAGGAAATGACACGAGAGCCCCAATTAATTCCCCAAAGGTCACTCAATTGAAAAGTCAAGAGATGGAATTGATTGAAAGTCATTATCAACTTGACCTAGATTTTCTCTGAAAGGACAGGAGGCTTTTGAACCAATTATCGTCGCTTGCCAAGTTTAATTTTTTTTTTTTTTTGAGATTACAAGTGGTTTTAAAATATTCATGTGCACTCACTCTTGTTGCTATCTCTACACCAAACAGAACAACAAACAGAACTTTCCCAATGGTTGCTGGGCTTCAAATATTTTTCTCATTCAAGGGCCTTTTGAAATATTTGAAATTATCAAATTATTATCATTTGGGAGAAAATTTGGGAAACAGAAACGGAATGCAAAAACACCCATGATATTGGTATTTGAACATAATAGTGCGTATTTCTGTTAGAGTGTGTTATTTCGTTTTTCTCTATTTCTGTATAGCTTTAATTGATATTTATATATTAATATAATTTGGCATACTGATATTTACAATTAATATATTGTTGTGTCACTGTCATCAATAGCCTTTATTATCATTATTTTAATAGCTATATAATATTGTATTAAGTAAACGACATTATGATTTATTTCATCACTACTTTGAGTCCCATCTGCCATTTTGATGTTCTTGTCCTCCTTCCCTATACGCTTTCTATTGAATCACTGGTTCTTTGATTTGGGCCAATGACAATAAGAGCCATTTGACTTGGGCTATATAGCTTTGTCCAGTTCCATAATCTTTTTAGCCCTGTTTCCAGTCTATCATATGAGAATAACAGAGAGTGGCCCTTTCTACCGCCATACACTTAACCCTGTCTCAGAGGAAAAAATAATATTTGTTCCTTATTACTTGCAATTTCCCTCATGTAAATGGTACAGATCAATTAAACCAGGCTAAGAAATCATGACTATGCTCAATGTGGTCATTTTTAAATTGTCCTTTTAAACATAGATAAGCTGTAACAAATTGTAACTACTTACCTCTGGTAATTTCATGGCTTGTGGTAGAACTTTATTTAAATAAATTATTTTTAGCCTTAGGGCTCTTTGCTTCTTTAGAAAGTTTTGGGATGGTTTTCTATTTAATGTATGTGGACTATCTTGAATGCCAAGATGTATTTTTTTCTTTCCTTTTCTTTTTTAATGGAACAAGAAGCATCACCATTAGCAAATGCCTCTAAAGTAAAAACTGACCCCACTATACTGCAAAAGAAAAAACAAAAAAGAAAAAAGGGAATATTTTTTAAGGAAATTCCTTTGGAAGAATTTCCCTTAAAGTGTTCTGAACTCAGGAACGTATCCAAATTTTCTTTCTATCAGTTACAATCTTATTATGAAGGTTCTGGAAGAGCTGTCTTGGGAAGAAAAACTGAAAAAGGTCGAGGGTCAAACAATGGATACATATTTTAACCACACAATCTGGGAATGCCTTAGGATTGCTAGTTAGGTTACTTCTGAAAACAAGATGCATACTCTATTTTGAGGCTAAGAAAAAAACATTTATCTTAAAATACAATGAATTCTTTTTTTTTTTACATGCTAGATGCTTTACTTTTTCTCATGACATTTGATTATTAAGATAGCAATTAATTAAAAGAAAGATGGACAGAAAACAGAAAAGAAAAATGATAAAAAAGAAATATCACTAGGGAACCTAGGCAGGGCTGCAAAGGTTTTGAGGAGGTTGTCAAGTTTTGTTGACTTGTTCAGTTTTTTTTTTTATACATATGCATCTGTTTATTTGGTTTCCACTTTTTGCCTTCACAAAATTAAAAAGGCTTAAAATTTAATAACAATAACAATGTTTAAGATAAGGACTAGAAACAAAAACCTCATAAAGAACAAACGAAGATAAATACATTCAGAAAAGAAATCAGATGATTGCTGCAATGAAATATTGGGCAATAATAATAATAATGCAAAAAAAGTAACATTCACATTGGCAGATAAGAGTACGTCTATTATAGAATGCTTTGACTCTGAGGTTGAGTATGGAGTCATCAGTTAACGTCTTCTTATTTTTTTTCCAAAGTCTCAAAAAATATGATTATCTTTTATTTATAAATATTATAAGTAAAATTATAATTATTAATTTAACATTCTTTTGATTAAATTGATTGTATTTTAAGATAATAATAATATTAAATTAATAATTATAATTTTATTTATAATATTTAAAAAGAAAAATAAAAGATAATTTCAAAAAGCAGGTCATGCCAAATCTTATAGACAATAGAAAAAGAAGAAATACTTCAAAATCATTCTACTTCATCTGGATACACCTGATATTAAAATTAGAGAAAATATATTATTATAAAGGGGAAATTACAACCGTATCTCACTTATAAATGAGGATGCAAAAAGGAAAAAAAAAGAAAAGAAAATAGTGACTAAGTCTCGCATGAATTGGATTTAATTTTGACCAAAGTATATTCTTGAACATTACTTTTTAATTCGAGTTGTTCATATGTTGTTTAGGATATTGCATCCTCAACACAATCAATTCTAAGATTAATTTTTTATTATGAAGCATTTCAAACATTGGAACAGTATGAAAAGTAAGGTTTTGAATACCTGCCTTTAATTTATGTCAAACATATTGCCATATTAGCTTTATACAACAATTTTAAATGGATAAAACAGATGCATTTGAAATCTGGTGTGTAATCTTCCTTGTTTTAATCTCCTTCCTTCGTGCCTGTCTCCTTTGCTCCTATCCTTTCTAGGATATAAACACTTCCTTGAGTTCAGTTTTATCATTCCCATGCATTTCTTTATGTTTTTGCTACACCGATGTGTGCCCATAACTAATATACAGTATTATTTTGCATGTTTTCAAACTTTAAATTTGCCTAGATGTACAACTTACCTTATTGACTCAGTATAATTTGTAAGATTATTTTCTTCGTGCTCATGCATACAGAGCAGTCATTTGAACTGCCGCCTTGTTCCATTCTGTGAATGTATCACGATTTATTTGTCAGTTCCCCACCTCCACCCATGCAGTATGAGGCAGAGACAATTTAAAGTCATATCTTGGTAATGTGTTGGCCAAGCAGAGCCCCAAGATTGCCAGGAATCAATACTTTCATTCCTGCCTTTCTCTGTGTTTAGTGCCTTTCTCCAGTTAGTTTGTTCCTTTCTTTATAATTTGGCCTGGCCCCTTGGAAAGATCATTAAGATTCCTCATTCACAAAAGTTTCGGCCCAGACATACTGAGTGCCTGCTCTATGTGCGGAAGGAGCTAAATGTGAGCCAGACATGGCCCAATAGGCGACTGCCAAGCCTAACTCTCATATCTATAATGCAATGCCTGTGGGCTTCATATACATGCACATATTAATTTTTGCTTTTAAAAGACTATGGTTTAAAGTTATCAAAAATTACAGCTATTAGGAATTTGATTGGTCTTATTTGCTTATTGAAGTGTATGTTTTTCTTTTTTGCTTTTTGTTTATTTTTATTATTGTTTTTTTGAGACAGAGTCTCAAGCTGTCGCCCTGGGTAGAGTACCGTGGCGTCACAGCTCACAACAACCTCCAACACCTGGGTTTAAACAATTCTCTTACCTCAGCCTCCCAAGTAGCTGGGACCACAGGTGCCTACCACAATGCCCAGCAATTTTTTTTTATTGTTGTTGTTACAGTTGTCATTGTTCTTTAAGCTGGCCTGGGCTGGGTTTGAACCCATCAGCCTTGGTATATGTGGCTGGCGCCCTACCCACTGAGTACATTAAAAAGCGCTGCCTTTTTTTCTTTTTAGAGATGGGGGCCTTGCTTTGTTGCTCAGGCTGCAGTGCAATGGCACAATCATAGTTCACTGCAGCCTCAAACTTCTGGGCGCAAGTGGTCCTCCTGCCTCAGCCTCCTGAGTAGCTGGGACTGTAGGTGTCAGTTACCAGGTCCAGCACCAAATATATGTTTTTCTTTTTCTTTCTTTTTTTTTTTTTTTTGCAGTTTTTGGCCAGGGCTGGTTTTGAACCCACCACCTCCGGCATATGGGGCCAGTGCCCTACTCCTTTGAGCTATAGGCGCCACCCAATATGTATTTTTCTTATTTGCCAGAGTAATATATTTTAAAATCAAAGCATTAGGGATCACTATATACTATTGCTTTTCTGATTACACAGATATTTACCATAGAATTTTGTACCTATAGAATTGAAACTGTATGCTATTCTCCTTCCAAAAAAAGGGACTCAAAACTCAATTATCTATCTTTCCCTGTCTTAGCAGATATTGTTGTGAGCTATCAAATTGCTGTGTTCTCATATAAACTAGAATCTTTGATTTGCCTCTGTAATTTCATTAATATTTAGTGACCAAAGCCTTTTTTGAGTTCTAATAGATAAATTTTATTAATAATTGAGTTATTCTGTTGAATTCATCAGGATTAGGGTGGAAAATAGGTCTGTAAATCACTTTCATTTATTTTAATGAACAAAGGCCAATTATGGTAAACTGGATTTTAACAGTTGACTAAATCATCATCTATAGCTGAAAGAGATTTCAGCTGACTGAACTGAATGTTACTAAAAGAATCTTATGTGACAAATAAATAAAGTGCACATTTTAGAAAAAACTCAAGTGACTCATGAGCCAAGAACTTCCAAACGTAAGATAATATGTTCTACAAAGGTTAAAGTAGATTTTTCAATTATAAAATAAACAGAACACACTGTAAACAATTGTGGTGTCTTTTTTTTTCTCTGTGATCCAGAAATGATCATATTGATTTTTGAGCTTTTTATGTTAAAAGCAAATCACTGAGATTAAATTTCATGGCTTTCTGAATTCTGAGTTAACTGGTAATGGCTGGGAGATGCCGTGAGGCCCTTAGCTTCTCTGCTGGCTGCTCTTTCATGTGCTGAAATCTTTTTTTGAGCCATCTCTTATCTTCACTTAGGACAATGATGTTGTGGTTTGTTTTATTCAGATCAAGTTCTCAGAGTCTGACTACTTTGGCAATGTACTGCAAACCCGCAAGTATTTAGCACAGTCTGACTTCTTCTGGCTAAGAAAAGCTGTTCCAAAAACAGAGTGAGTATTAAAAAAAAAAGTAAAATAGATAAATACATTGGTGGGAAGTGGAGTCTCTTTAGATTCAACTTTGTAATTCCCCTCAAGTCAGAGTAGCTGGCTTGCCAGCTATCTTGTTTTAACAAAATCTGTGTCATGTTTTGCCAACTCTTATTTTTCATATTGTGTGTTTAAGATCTTTGATCTAATTACAGGTCCCTCACTCCTACCATCAACACATGTCAAAAGAAGGCTTATTAGGATGCAAACATTAAAGTTATTTCTAGATCTAGTTATGATTATATACATGGATATGGAAAAAAATTCTCTAGGTTTTCACACTCATGTAGAAACTTGCAGATTTAAAAAAGAATAAGTATTTGAAAAATAAAATATGATTAGAAATGTCATAGTAATTGTATAATTATGAAGCAACTAGAAGATACTTGAGGTAATGCATGTCCAAGAACTGATAGCTAGATTGTTTTCATCTAATTAGTAGTTACGATTTACCTGCCTTCTTCTCAACTTGCCTACAGACAGGAGAGTCTTCTCAGGAACATTTGGCCCCAGGGCCAGGCCAGCTATGATTTCTTCCCTTAGCGAACAAAATATTGGTGATGATGATAGTGGTGGTGGTGATGATGATAGCAGGTAACAATTATTAAGTGATTACAATGTACCAGGAAGTTATTTATAATTATAATTCATTTTATCCTCATATCTGTGAGGTGTAGGTACTATTATCCCTATTTTACACGTGAATAAAATGTTCCGCTATTGGCTCACTTCTATAGTGTTTTTATTTTCCCCTCTCTGTTCTCCAGAACTGGGTAATTTCTGATGATCTGTTTCAACTCCAGAATTTTTATTTTTTCTAATTTCTGTTTCTCTGTTGTGATTTTTTTGATTTGCTGAGTCATTGTCATCATATTTTCTATTAATTCTTTGAATATAGTTTATTTTAATTCTTAGAACTAATTTGTAATAGCTATCTTCTAGTCTTTGCTAAATCCAGTATCTGGACTTACTCAGAGAGTTAGTTTCTATTGATTGCTTTTCTTACCCTTTGCATAACATCTCTTTGTTGTTGTCGTTGCTAATAACATTTTAGATAATACATTGTAGCAATTTTGGATTTGGATTTATTTTTGAGGCTAAGAAGTAACTTTCCTGGAGTTATACTGCAGAATGTATCTCCCCTGTGGACATCTCTACTCGGGTTTTTGTTTCTCATTTTTATGTTTTAGGCCCATTTGCTGGTAGTGGTTCCTGCGTCTGTATAGTTTAGTGCTCAGTCAGTGACTAGGGCAGAGCTTGTGTTCTTTTTATTTTTTTTATTTTTATTTTTTATTAAATGATAGCTGTATACATTAATGCAAACATGGGGTACAGTGTAGTGTTTTCATATACAATTTGAAATACTTTCATCAAGCTGGTTCACA